TGCTAAGCAAAAAATAAACACAAATCATTGGTCAAAGCTATGTAAAACAGGCATTAAAAAATATTGAATGTGTCCTTTGGCCTGAGTTTTCTTCTAACTCCCATCCAGTTTGCTCCTACCTTGCAGTTTTCCCACATTTTATTTTCTGTCTCTGGGACAAAGGAGGGGACAGAGGAAGTAAGCCTCATGGTATTTTACATTTGAATTAGGCTTTGGTGGTGTCATTAGTATTTTTACCTGTTGGCCAGCAGATGTAGTTTCTGCATTTGAGCAAGACCTTATTTAAGGCGACACACTTCTGATTGCTGATCATTTCATTCGCAGTTCTTATTCAATATTAAAGATTCAGAAATTCTATATTGTTAACTATTTCTGCTTATTTATGTGAACTGTTATTTTTTCTCCAGCATCTGAGAAAGAAGTGTTTTTTTTTTTCCTCCAGCATTCGAGAAAGAAGTGGGTTTTCTGACCTTCCCATCCTACCACCTACATTTCTAATCTTCTTTCCAAGGAGGTTCTTGCCGTTCTTCACTGGCTTCTCTGCTCATTGGAGTTTAGGTAAGAAACACTGGAAGAGGTACCAGGCAGTTTGCAATGCAGGAGCCAAAAGGTCTGTTTGGTCTTTCTACTGAAGAATTCCTTTGGGAGTAGCAGAACAGAACCATCCCTAATGTCAATAATTATTTGAAGAAAGCATAATTTAGATAAACATTGATCTTCAAAAAGAGGAAACAGAATGAGGCTGTATTCTACCTTGCTTCTGAAACCTGGCACATTAAAGATGGAGCATGTGATGAGATACTTAAGGAAGGATGTAAGAGAAAGTGCAGTTAAACAAGTGGTTTCATAGGACTTTAGGTCAAAGTTGCCAGAGATGGAATGAGAAGTGTCTTGAACTATCATTAAGACCCTGTATGCAGTGGCTAATTCAAAAGAATGTATGGCTCAGACAAACTATATTTTGCCTTTCTGAGATCCAGTCATGTACAACATGGATATGAACACGTGATAATTGTGGGGGGTAGGGTAGGAGCTTTAGGTACAGAGCTGCCCTTCTATGTGCTATTTCAAAGAACTCTTTAAGAATCACATTTGAGAGCAGAACCAGCATATAAGGGTCCCTGGAAAAGCTTCTTGTATACATTCTTAAGGAATTTACATCTGATTTGTCTATAAAAGCCTAATGAAACTAGAAGTAAGAATTTTGGAAGAGAAAGTGGAAATAAGAATTTTGGCCTCTCTGTAGCCTCAAAGCTTCTTTCTGAAGAACCTAAAGTAGTCAGCTACTTTGTTCTCATTTTTCATATTTCCATATTGCCCAGATTTTGTTCTAATTTAGAATTCCCCTGCTGAATTCAGTGGCCCTTTACTCTCTGGATTTAAACTACTTAATTCCACAGAGCCTAGATGCTCCATATTTCTCTGCATATTGCTTGGCATCCTCTCTGATCATCAAATCAGTAAAGAATTAAGGTGGTACATAGAAAATTGTTGTACAATAGATCTAGTAATATTTTTAATTTTCTGAATTTTGTGTAGAAGGATGAAACAAAGAGGAAATTCATCTCAAAAACCTTGAAAATAAGGAAACATTGTACTGCCTTTTCTCTTACTTGTTTGAGGTAACCCTTCTTAATCCAGAACCTTCACACATGAGAGGGTGGGGAGGAGAGAGGAGGAGGGGGAGAGCCAATCTCTGCAGGTCATAGGAAGCAAAACTGGGGACAGTATAAATGTAGCATTCTTATATCAAGGCATGGTATATAACCCGACAATCTGACTTGTCACCTCCTAGGCAAGCTCTTTCAAACCGTGTCAGGGTATTTAATTGACACTGATAATTGTGGATTTTATTGTCATTCTCTAAATGGTCACCAATCTCACCTCACCTAAAGCCATGAGGAAATTCAGACTGAAATTGGAAGAAATGTTCTCTACTTGGTCTCCTACCATTGTTACCAGAGTGCCACATGGATTTTCTCCACAATTCTCCACTCATCATTTCCCTGTGCAGTGAGTATCTTCTATCCCAGCTGTGTGCTAGGTTGCATCAAGAATTCCTTTGAAGTTTGTTCTCAGATTTTGTTCAGAATGACTAGGGAGTAAAGTCAACTTTTAGTGTGTTTTGGAGGGTTTTTATTTATATATGTGTGAGGATGTGTTGTGTGCTTTTTCTTTGTATGTTTCATTTTTATTTGGTTATTTATCACATTGCTTTTTATTGTTTGCTTGGGAGGCTTGTTTTGGGTGAGGGCTGTGCTTGTTTTGAGAGTTTTGTGTATTTTGAGAAAAGGGCCTTGCTAAATTGCTGAAGCAGCCTCCTGAATAAATTAAAGATTCCATTATTTGCACTGCACTATTTTGTGTTGTTTATTTGCTGAATTTTTTTGTTATCTGCTTTTTTTGCATGTGTTGCTTGTATTTCTTTGTGTGGATCCTGGTTTTAAGTATATGGCTTCTGTGGCTGCTGCTTCTGCTTCAGGCCTTCATCTCTGACTAGAGAGTGAGAAGCCAAGTTCCACATGGTAAAATAAGGAAATTTAAAGCTTGCTAGAAGGTAATTCTTTCCAGACTTTTTCTGAGCCCTGTCTGGACTGTAATATCTAGATATGGTAAATGACTAGAGTCCTTCTCTGTACCTAAGAATTGACTTTGAGGCATAGTTTTTTTTTTTTTTTTTTTTTTTTTGTGAACCAGCTACATTAAAAGCAGCAGAATAAAACAAGTGAGTATACTAAGTCTGAGAGAAAGAGGGAAAAGGGGGGATGCTTATTCTCTCATTCCTAAAATCTATTTGCTTCATTATATACAGCAGGTGAAGGGATAAATACTCAGGGAAAGAGAAGGGAAAAAAGAGGTAAGACACATTTTCCTGCTCTTTTGACAATATTCCTTTTATCTCATGGACAGTATGTTAGTGTGGGGGATTTGGGTAGGGCACCCACCACCAGTCATGCTGTGTGTAGTACTTCACTTCAGGAAGTGCCATTCATGTAACTATAAATATGATTGGCACTTCTTAGAGTGAGGTAATGCATGACATATACAACCTCAGTACTGGCCTTGGGGAGAGAATATGGCTACCTACACATAGGTTCTACAGTCTCCACTCCTGAATACTAGTTAATTCGTGCAACCATTTTAAGAGCTTTTTATGGGTTAAAACCTAGGAATAAGGTACTAGATCCCTCCTTCAGATATTCTGTGTCCAGTACTGTACTCAGGAAGGCATTGTTCACATCAGTTGATATTTGAATGGCGCCTTTCTGAGTAGAGTAATGTGCACCATGAGCAACGTTCTTGGTTGCACTGGTAATAAGAAGTGGAAGGTCTGTCTCACAAGTGCACTCCCTGATATCAAAACATTCAGTGGTGGCCCACTTCCACACTCTGATGCACATATTCAGAAACTTGATTCAGAATCAGGGTCTCCAGAAACAGTCTCTTATGTAGGTTTTTGGGGTATTTGGGTAGTTAGTACTATTTTTCCACACAAGAACTGACCACACAAGGAATGAGAATGATTCTCCTTTTCTTATATGTCCTAGTCATTCTTCTCTACACAAACCAAGTATTAAGAACAATCCTGAAAAGTGCAGACCTATCTGCTTTTCTTTAAGCCTTTTCTTTAGGTAGTCCAAGTACATTACTTCATTTAAAACTCCTTTAACCCTTTCCTAGAGTGATGCTAACTCTTTCCTCAAGGATTAGATGCTCTCATTCTTTGAATATTCCTGTCTTTTTTTCCTGTGGTGCAGGGTATTGTGCATACGAGGCAAGCACTCTACTAACTGAGTTATATCCCCAGCCCCATCCTGTGTCTTTTTAAAATTTCGTATTTGTTCTTTTTAGGTATGACAGTAGAATGTATTTTGACAGGGGGCCGGGGTTGTGGCTCAGTAGTTCAGTGCTTGCCCAGCACGTGTGAGGCACTGGGTTTGACCCCTGGCACAACGTAAAAAGTTACTGTATTTTGACATATTATACATATATGGAGTATAACTTCCCATTCTTATGGTTGTACATGATGTAGAGTACACCAGTCATGTACTCATTATATAAACATAGGAAAGTTATGTCCAAAGTATTTTGTGATTGAATGTAGTGATGCAAGGTTATGTGTATATGTGTGTATATATAAAATTATAAGTTAATTTATAAATCAAGAGATTTATTATAATGAATCAGCTCACACAATTATGGAGGCTGGTAATTTCCAATATCTATAAGGTAATTAGTCAGGAACCTTAGAGGCCCAGTAGAGCTGATGGTATACACACAGTCCAAGTTCAAATGCTAGAGAATTACAACCAATTATGTAGTCAAATACAAGACCAGGAGAAAACAGATGAAGGTATGGCATGTGAAGGCAGAAGGCAGTAGGAATTGTCAGTAACTCAAAGGAAGATGGGCCTTTTTGTTCTCTTCAGGCCAGACCTTCAACTGATTGGTTGAGTCCCACCTACATTATGGAGGATGATCTGCTTTACTCAACTTACTGAATAAATGCAAATCCTATACCAAAATAACTTCTCAGAAATAGTCTAGGATACATATTTTAGTTCTTTGTTGGTATGAAAATCAACCATAGACATAGAACAAAGGAAACAAATGTATATAGCTTACAGTTTTTTAATTTTTTAATTTTATTTTTTATTTATTTACCTGGGATTGAGCCCAGGGGTGTTTAACCACTGAGCCTCATCCCTAGCCTTTTTTTTTCTTTTCAGACAGGGTCTCACTAAATTGCTTAGGGACCAGCTAAGTTGCTGAGTTGGCTTTGAACTCAAATCCTCCTGCCTCAGTCTTCCGAGTCACTAGGATTACAGGCATGCACAGCTGTGCCTGCTAGATCATAGTTCTTGAGGCTGGGAAGTAAAACACTATAGAGAAACATCTGGCAAGGGTGTTTCTACTGTATCATACATGGCAGAAGATTAAAGTCAAGCAAGCATGTGCAAAAGAAAAAGTGGAGGGATGAACTTAACTTTCAGACCAAGTTTTCAATACATAAATGTATTTTATTTTTAGTGAACAACCTATGACAAGAGTTATTAACCTTCTGTAAAGAACAACATAGTAAGTAGAACAAAATAGTAAATATTTTACACTTTGCCAGCTGTACCATCTCTGACCCAAATACTCAATTCTTAACTGTGTAGCACAAAATCAGTCAATGACAATATTTGAACAAATTTGCATTTCATTTTCTGATAAAACTTTAAAGAGACTGGTACCAAGCTAGAATTGTTTTTTTTTCCAGATTGTTTTCTATCATCTCTAGCCAATTTCGTGTATGTAAAATATTTTGTTGTAAAATAATTATAGAGGATACAGATGACTTATTCTAACCTAAACAATTCTCTATTTGCACAGTTAGAAAAACATTGTGAGGTACAAATCACCTCAATTCAATCACAGATTGAGCTATATTCATGATGCCTTCAGTTTGTCAAGAGGTAATACAGCTGTTCTTTTTAGGCCTTTGTTTTGGCATGGCCCAATTGGGTATTTGATTGAGAGATTGGCAGGTTTCTGTCTTTTGAGCCTTGGAAGACTGAAAGAGATTCAATTTTGTCTTCTTTTCAGAGATTCTGACCTGAGTATGTTTAGCATCTGTTACAAGCATATTCAAAACTCAACAAATGCCACAGCTGTGTCACCACTGTTCATGAATTTATGGCTACCCCAGACAATGAGTACGAATTTTTCCATTTAGTGCTACAAAATGTCCTAGATCACACTCTTCCTTGAAAATATTTTTGGTGTAATATTTCAACTTACTACATAATTCAGCAAATGCTACGCAAAGTAAAAGAAATTCTAACATTGCATTCTGGGTTTCTCTTTTCTCCAGAATAGTGCCTTTGCTGGTGGGGCCACATTTTCAGTCCAGAGCCAGATAGTAAGTGCTTTTTGGAAGATGGCCATCATTAGGGTATGTGGGGAAAGGCTTTGGCCTGTTTGGAATTTTCTTTCATCCATACATTTTTCTTGCATGGCCCTCCTGTGAAATTAAATTTAAGTATTTTTATACTTTTTCCATGAGGACATTAGCTGACTACTAATTTACCCAGTTGTTTCTCGCATTTATTCACATTTTGATTGTTAAAATTACTGATGCTTCACTTATTTATTTTTTAGTTGTAGTTGAACACAATACCTTTTATTTTTATATGGTGCTGAGAATCAAACCCAGGGCCTCACACATGCTAGGTGAGTGCTCTATCACTGAATCATAGCCCCAGCCCTGAAGCTTTGCTTTTTGATCAAAGCAGCATATTTGGCCACCCCAGATTTATCAGGTCATTCTTTCATTTTTTAAAGTCAATTTCTGGCAAAATTCTGTCCTAAAATTTGAAATAATCTCTAGAGTAACTACCTAAGATTATGGAAGTGGATTATTATGAAAAGGAAGGTAGTATTAAGCATTCTCTTCTTTAGGAAAAGCAGTGGTGGAATGAGTGTTAAAGAAAGACAAGCGTCAGGGATTAATGATGAGTAAAGAAAAATAATACAAATAATAAGGTTTTTCATACTAATGAGAAGTGTTACTTTAAGAATTGTATATGCATGTAATTTCAATGACTTGGGAGGTTGAGGCAGGAGGATTACAAGTTTGAGGCTACCCTCAGCAACTTAGCCTAGACTCTTGTCTCAAAATATAAAAAGGGCTGGGGATATAACTCAATGGTAACCATCCCTGGATTCAATCCTCAGTTAATCATAAATGCGTATTAAATTCTATTTCCTTTTATAAAATATAGTTTTTTAAAAAAATGGACGGATAATATGTGCATTCATTGTATATAATATGATATTTTGTAGTATACATTCATTGAAAAATGGTTAGGTCAATCAAGGTAGTTAATAAATGAATTACTTCACTAGTATGTTGATGAGAGTAAATAATATTCACTCTTTGCATTTTTCATGAATACAATATATCATTATAGTCTCCTTGCTGTGTAACACCTTGCTGTATAATAGATCTTTTGAACTTATTCCTATTATCTAACTGTAATTATATATAATATCCTTTAGCCATTATTTTTTCATCTCCCCCCAAATATTACCAGCTATAAGAAAAAAGATTAAAGGTAATACATGCCTATTATGGAGGTTCTCCCCTAAAAATGAAATATAAAAGTATCATGATCCAGCAATCCCAGTACTGAATATATATCCAAAGCAGATGAAATATTTATTGCCCTCCCATATTCATTACTAAAGTAGCCAAGATATAGATTTAGTTAACTGTCCACTAACTAAATAGATTAAAACAATGTGGTACATATGTGCAATGGAATACTATTCAGCCATAAAAAATGCCATTTGTGACCACATGGATAGACCTGAAGATTATTAAAAACACTGCAGGATCTCACTTATGAGTAATCTAAAATAGTTCAAGTGTACTGCAGAGAGAAGCATGGGGAAGCTTGATTTATTAGGCTACATATTTAGACAGGAGAAATAAGTGTCAGTGTTATATTACACAGTACAGTGACCACAGATAAAAAAAAAAATAAAGTACTGTATGTTTTCTATAACCTAGAAGAATGAATTTTGAATAAATGAAAAATGGTTGACATAAATATTTAACATGATTAACGTAAGTATTTAACATTGCATAGTATATGCATATACTGAAGCATTGTGGAATCCTATAAATTTGTACAATTTTATGTAACAAAAAGTTAATTATATTACAAGGTATATATTATAAGATGGAAATGAAGGGCTGAGATTGTGGCTCACTAGTAGTGATTGCCTATCACTCCTGAGGCACTGGCTTAGATCCTCAGCACCACATGTGCACGTACAACTACTAAAAAATATTAAAAAAGGAAAATCAATATAATAAAGAAATACCTGCATACCCATTTTTTATCATAGTATTGTTCATAATTGCTAAGATAAGGAAATAACCTCAGTATCCACCAATGGATAAGTGGATAAAGAAAATAGACATGGTAGAATGCTATTTGGCCACAAGGAAGACTTACAACTAGACTCTGGCCTGAACTCCTCCTTCCACAATCTACCCCAGACTATTGGGAAATGTCGGTTAATAGATTTCTTTATGCATTAATGAAAGATTGAGAAGTCAGGATTTTTCTGTTCCTCATTTTTAGCTATGTGTTCCAATACACATATATGCACAAACACCCCATATGTATACAATGTGTATGATTCCACCAGACACCAGATGTATGTATACATGTAGCATATGTGTATATACTTCCTTTATAAAATGAAATGAATGAGGTTTATAGGAAAGGTGGCATAATTGCAATTCCTGAAGAAATAATCCTAAGGGAATTTTCAGGATTTTAGTGTTTAATGGCTAGTTTGAAATTTATTTTGACTTATTAGTCTTCTACCTGTGATTATGTAAGTAGTAATGTATAATATCCCTTTCCTGGCTTCATGAATAAGATGATAGATTATAAGGTCTTGATGGCAGGGTTTTAATCAGATAGACCACCTGTGAGAAAAGATGTCAATAAATCAAGCTCTAAAATCAAGACATTCATGAACTCACTGGAAAGGGAGAAAGTTTAGAGTAAGAGATATTATCTTTATCCCTCTACAAATTACTTATTTCACTCATCTTTCTATGTTTGAACAAGTTATTACTGTATCTTACTGATTTGAAGAAGTCTTTTGATATTGGACACTTATGTACTTCTGTAGATTTTTATCTATGAAAAATTTACTTTTCAACTTCTCCCATTTTGGGAGACTATCTTCCAGAGCTTCTATTATTCTTTTACACATGATAGACCCCAAGGTATTTGTTTCTAGTTAAGGTTGGAAGTCTTTAATGGAAGGGACACGATAGAAATTACTTACTGAGAAATTACTTAATGAGGAGATAGATGCTAGTGTTTTCAATTTTATAAATAGGTTATAGATAAATGACCAGCTGTAGCTAGGAAGAAAGAATTTTAGCTGCTATAGTCATTGCTTAACCAGTGACATTTAAGGAATGGAAACTTTTTGATGTTGTAGTAGATGGACCCAATATGAGAATCCAACTCAGTGCCTCACATGTGCACGTGGCTAGGTAGGCACTGCACCACTGAGCTATAGCCCCGGTCCCTGGAAATGGCTTTCTAACGAAACAACCAAAATGACAAAATATACTCACCTCGAGGAAGAAACAAAAACTGAAAATATATGCCTTCATTCAAGGAAGATTGAGAGAGGGAGGGCAGTGAGGGCAGATGTTGCACAGTTTCTCCGCATCAGTCTTGGTGTCAATGCAAAAAGTGTGTGGTGCCTTTCACAAGAATGTCATTCATGTGGCCTAAAATATAAATGGCAACTTTTTGAAGAGTCATGTACAACACATACTGCAAATGTTGTGTTCTTGGGGGTTTAGATGCAAGTACAGAGATACCTTTGGGAACCTAGGCACGTGTTCTTTAGTGCGAGGTACATTCGTGCTTTCTAAGAGATCATGCATAGGAAATTCGAATTTAGGAAAAAAGGCATTTTATATCACATGTTCTACATAGTATTATATGTTCATATTGTATATTATGAATATTGTATGTTAATATGCACATAATATTTGTATTATATGTTCTGTAAAATACGCTAATATATACATGGCATTTTTCCCAAATGAGGATTGAGTATGCTCCATGCCAGACGCTCTTAATCTTTTTAATTTGTATTATTTTACAAGTTATTGAAAGGATGGAAGGACATGATAGAATCAATTCTCAGGATCACGTAGACTCTTCTGCATCTTGTGGTGATCCTACTTAACTTTAAACCTAAGGGGTGGAGAAGATAAAGACATCCATTAGTACACTTCACTGCAGAACTCAAAAGCAGTCAGTAGGAAAATTAAATAATTCCTAATTAAATGTAGAGATGCAGCATATATTGATGGATTGAAAATTCACAGATTTTAATACAATCTCAAGCCAATTCTGATTTTTGTAGTCATTCCAAAACTGATTGGATGGTTCTAGTTTCATTGCTTTTCAATCTGGAAAGGAATCACAAAAGTTGGAGAATTCACATTTGCACTATAAGAACCTTAGTGAATATGATATGATGCTGCAGGAAGGATGGACAAAAATATGTATTTTGAGTAGGTTGAAGAAAGAGAAAATAACTTGCATCTATCAAAAGAAATTCTGGGCTGGATGCGGTGGCACACCTGTAATCCCAGCAGCTCGGGAGGCTGACACAGGAGGATCATGAGTTGAAAGCCAGTCTCAGCAAAAAGGCCTACATCCGCAACCCTATTTTGTATTTTATTTAGGTCTAAATAAAATACAAAATAGGGTTGGGGATGTGGCTCAGTGGCCAAGAGCTTCTGACTTCAACCCCTGATACCCCGCCGCTCAAAAAATTCTGTGTATACTAAATAATTTGTTAAATTTTTCCTTTGTATTTCAATAAAGTAATAGTTCCATGAATAATTTTGGAGTATTTCTCCCTGACTGGTAACTGATATATTTTATTGATTAAGGCATAAAAAATTTTCCAGGCTAGTCAAGTTAGAATGGTAAAAACTGTTGAAACATGATTTTATATGTGATTTTGGTTCTATCACACAAGGTTGCATTTATAGGTGCAACTGACTATCATTTTAAAGGGTATTTCAAGTTGTCTATTTCTTACAGATTTATTAAAACATTCTATTTTAAGTAGTCTATTTGGGTCATCTTTGCTTTATCACATTTGTAGATGAATAACAAAAGCTGAGAGAAGTGAAATGTAATTGAGCACATTGAAGAAAACAAGTAGTCTCACCTGAGGATCACAAGTGGGCTACCTGTGCTCACCTGAGGATCACACAAAGCCCCGCTGGACCAACCTGAGCTCTCTCATGCCATTGCAGTCAGGGAACGTGGGCTGGACTCAGAAGCCCATCTCATTAGGATATCAGATCCCAGAAGGAAAGGCAGGAACAGCCAGGCTGGCGGGTCTCTCCCTGCACTTGAACTTTCACTCTGGAATTCTTCATAGCACAGAGAGCTCCATCTGCTGACAGAACAAGGGCAGAAACTAAGAAAAGCCATCTTCCCTGGCCGGCAGGCCCTAGGAAGGTGACCAATGACATGCCTCGAACACACTATTCCAAAAGGAGTCACATAGAGCCACTCAGGGTCAGTACGTGGGGAAATGAATTCCAGGCCTGACTGGAGGAGGAGAAAAAGGCCCATTGCCAAAGGTGTGCTCACAGGTATACAGGTGCAGTCGGAACCACAGTTACTGCAGCCCACCAACTGCCCTTCAGTGTTGTGACTTTAGTTTCCATGCCCTTCTCAGGATATTGAAAGGGAAGCCTCACAGTTCACAGTGCTGAAAGGCTAGGTGTAGCAAAGATCTAAGATAATTCAGAATCGTTTTTACCCAGGAACAGATGACCTTCACAATTATAGCTGTGAGCCACAGGTTGCTCTTTCTGCGTTTATTTGAATGCTGGGGATTGGACTCACCTTCCACTCACCTTCTTAGGGTTGAAAGGAGCCTTGGGCGTTGGCTGACCAAATATTGCTAAGTTCCCAGTGTGCTTTCCAGCCGACTGCTGGAAACACTGATGTTTCTCTACGTGTTGCCACTGTGGGTCAAGGGAGAGGGCTACTTGTCCTAAAGATCATCTAGTCCTATCACCCTAACTTCAGCCACCCTTACTGGGAAAGAGAAGCAAAAAACAACCAGGGCTCACAGAATTCACAAATGGCAGGCTTCCATCTGCTGACTAGATGTGCAGGCGGGAGGTCGCAGGACAGGAATGTGAGCTGGCAGATTTGAGCCCTGCAGCACCTACCTGGCAGGTCTCACATCTTCTCCCTGTCCCTGCATCAGAGGGGATTTTGGGGAGCAGACACGGAGTGAAGAAGGAGGAATCCACACAAGCTGTTGCCATACTACAGTCATTGGAACCGGGAGGTTGCAGGACCCTAGGGGCATCACACCCCAGCCCACACAATGGCCACCCTCACTGCTTGCCTGACACCTCATGGGGACACAAGCGGGCAGAGGGTGGCCTGTGCCTCCATCTCTTCCCACTCCCTGGCCCCACCCTCACCAAGTGCCTCAGAAAATCAAGTGGATGTGTGGAGGATCCAGAACCTCTTTCCCCACCAGGGAATACCTGTGATTCTTCATGGGGGTTGGGAACCTGAAGGGGAAGAAGTGAGCATCAGGAAAATGGGTGGCCAGAACCATCACCCACCAGCTCCTCTCCTCCAGAGAAGTCATCTCCCCCAAACGTCCTTCCATCTTGTTCCCATCGGTCTCTCTGACTTTCCTTGTTTCTTCCTGAGATGCACTTCACATGTCGGTGCAGGAAAGGCCACGGTCCCTCTCAGAGCTGACAGGGACACCCATTTCTCATGGCAAACATCCTGATCTAACACCCTAATTACCACATTAGACTGATGAGATAAGCCCTATTTCTACTCTGTTCTGCCAGTGTGAAGACCAGAAAGACCTCCCTACATTGCCCAAGTGGAACTGGGTGACCTGTCAGGGAGGTAATGGCCTCCCTATAACTGGTTAGGAAGCCAGGTCGGAAGTTCTCACATACCCTTGGGGGTGGGAAGAGAGGGACACTTACCTCTGTCTCTGCCACCTGCTCCTTTCATTTCACCTCTTTATTCCAGCCTTTCTCTCCCCTACCTGACTCCAGGTGACTTGAGGGAAGATCTGTTTTCATCAGATTTACATCTGGGTCATGGGGACAAATCCTGCAACATACAGGCCTGCATCAAATTCCTGTGAGTGATCCATGGTACCCAAAAGGAACACAACACGTTCCCCATCCCTTTCAGAGCTGCACGTGGACACACGTTCTCAGTGTTCCTTACAAACATGAAAGATCTTACATGGACCTTTTGCAACCTGTAGACAGACTCACCTGTGTTCCTTGCCTCCTGCTGGTAGGACCATCCGTTGTCACAGCAAACATGCAAGTAAAGCCTGTGGGGATAATCAAGACCTAGAAATTTTATAAATAAGTGCACCAGCACAGAGTAGCTGTGGCAGAGTGAGGCCTGGCACCTACAAGGCCCTGGGTTTGATCCCCCCCACCACAGAGCAACAACTACAACAAAATCAATCTCTCCCTCTCCCTCTCTCTCTCTCTCTCTCTCTCTCTCTCTCTCTCTCTCTCTCTCTCTCTCTGTATGTGTGTGTGTGTGTGCAGCAGTAGTAGTCAGAGTATCAACTCAGAGGGAAACTCTTCCTCAAGGCACAAAATGAAGGACACCAGAAATGTCCAGAGTGTAGTCCCCAGACTAAGTAATAAGAATTCCTAAATATTAGCCATGGTGGACAAATGAGGCATTTATTAGTAGCACAAAATGACATGTGTTCTTATTACTTTATGAAGACTGACCGTCTGTGTCTGTAGAAAGGGAAGCTGTTCATCCAAGTTTTCATGCTCTCACCTGCGTCCCAACTCCCTGAGGATCAACAGCCCTTTATGGCTTTCAGAGCCAACCTCCCGATGGGCTTGGTGACACACGCCTGTAATCTCAGCTTCTCAGGAGGCTGAAGAAGGCAGATTGCAAGTTCCAGACCAGCCTTAGCAACTTAGCAAGACCCTGTCTCCATAAAAAGTGAAAAGGACGAGGAATGTAGATCAGAGGTAAAGCATCGCTGGGTTCCATCCCCAGTCCTGTGCCTGCACCCAAAAATAGTATCAGGGAAAACTTCTTGCTGCTGGGTTCTCCGTGCCTGTTTGTAAACCGTACCTGGAGAGAGGGAGGAATTAAATACCTTCAAACCAGAATCAGCAAAGAGGCTGAGAGGAGCCATGTTTCCACTGAACCTGGCGGACACACAACAGTCACACTGAGCTTTTGAGGCCTTTTGGTCCTGATGACAAATATTTTGTGGTACCCAATGACCTTCACAGTTCTTTGGAGAAACCAGAACATCCCCCAGGACTGATGAGGGTTTTCAAGTCCCCGTGGTCACCAAAGGGACCCAAGCAGAACACTTTTGGAAATCTAGAGTTGAAAACTCCCTACCCCTTCTGATTGAAGTCTCCAGAAGGTAGCTCCCTGGCCTGATAGGTCCAGCCTCTGCATCTCCCTCTCCTGTGCCAAGTCTCCTACAGAGAGGAAGCAGAGTTGTTTCTGAGAACGCAGACCCTAGGGACAGGGGCTTGGTCAGAGTCCCTGGGCTGCCAGATAGCAGCTGCACAACCCAAGCAGGTCGGCTAAACCTGGAGAAGGCAGGGAGCTCACCAAATCTGGCCACAGGTGGATGGGCAGTAAACACGTGTGGGGCATGACTAGGTGTGGGAAGAGACGGAGAAAAGCCATCTCCTGTCCGCAGGTCACAGCCAAATTTCCATGAGGCTGGGTTGAAGCGGTGGAGAGCTGCTGAAATTGCAGGAAAAATGCATAAAGAGCTCCAACCTGCTATGCAGTAGGAAGACTCCTCCAGGTGAGGACAGCAGGCTCTTGTCCATTCCAAACCCAGGGAGGGACGGTGCACTTCCTGTGGCAAAGACAGCAAGGCCTGCCATCCCCCAGATGCTCCAAGGTCCTCCCCTCTTGCATCTTCTGTCTCAGGCTCTTCCTAGCTCCCATAAAGAATCACACACAGAATCAATGGAAAAATTAACAGTTGAAATAGCCCTTACCATGCCCTCCAGGTCTGAGCGGCCTCACCTCCCTACATTCCTTCCCATAGCAGGTAGAGGGAAAGAAACAAACACAATGGCCATAGTGGTCACTTCTCACCAACTGTGCATCCTGGGCATGTGCTCACACTTGCTCACATATTGACATCAAAGACCTGTGTGCGAGGAGGTGCTTTCAGCCTGAGAGTGGCCATCACTTTCTCCAAACACCTGGACAGACCAACACCACTGCCCTCCTTCTTCTCCCAGAGGGAGTGTCTCCTCAACTGACCTGAGTACATCTGGGAAGATAGGACTAAGCTCCTTACCTCCTGGTTTTCCGGGAGGGTAAGATGTCCAGTTCCTTGTAAGCAGCCTGTGTTGTGATTCTTCTGGGAGAGAAAGACCTCCAAGCAACATCCTCCTTATCACTCCTGGGACTTCCTCTTCCAGAGCCACTTACCTGGCCTCTGAGCCACAGAATGAACCAGGAAGCAGGGGATGAAGTGCACTCAGCCTGCTGCGGGGAGAGGTCAGGAGGCCAGGGTCCTCCTACTCAGCCTCTGGAGACAAGAGCCCTGCCTAGCCCTCCCCAAACACCTTCCATCCCTCTACCTGGGTGTGGCCATAAGCAGGTCTCCCCTTTACCTGCTGTAGGCTGATACGTTGCCTTGGACCCTAAGAGGAAAATACAAAGCATCAGACCCTCCCACAACGGGCTTCTGTGCCCCTTACCTTGTAGCTTCTGTCCTGGACATCACCACTCCAGCTCCAGACCCAGAAAGAAGTCTGTGACTCTCTGCAGGAACCTGTGAAAGACCCTCCGACTCCCTGTCCAAGGAAAAGCACACGAGACACTGGCTGCAAAAGCGAGAGGCGATTTATTGATACACAGGCGCCTGCGGGTGCTCAGCAAGACCTCAGCCGGAGCTTCGGTGAACTGGCACCCCGGGCTTTGGGGCACAGATCTTTTATAGGGTAAAGGAGCAGGTTTCTTCTTGGTCTTTTTGAACCTAGCATATAGGTTACCTAAAAGGCAAGGTTGTTTTTCACTGTATGTTCCTGGAAAAACCACATAAAAACCACGTGTTTTTCACTGTATGTTTCCGTTTGCTCAACCGTGCCGGTTCTTTCCCAACCATCCTGTTCTTTCCTAATCGGTTACACTTAACTGATTATCTAAAAAACACATCTGACGCCTGTGCAGGTGCAAAAGCAAGCCCTGATGATTTTGTAACTGGGCCTAAAGTTATTGGGCTGGGGTCTCTCATTCCCCCCTTTTTCTTTATCATGGATAGAATCTTATATCCATTGTCCTGCTTGCTCAGGTTCTTGGATTAAGCTTGTTTGTGACCCTGTTTGTTGTTTAAGCAACTGGTATTGTTGAGTTAGAACCATAGTCTGGATTATAGAAAGTCTTTCTTTCATGAACTGCACTAGTCTATTAAGTATACAAGGTCCGAATGTCAGGAGTAACAGCAAAATAACTAAAGGTCCTGCTATGGTAGATAGCAAAGTAGTTAACCATGGGGATTTATTAAACCAGTGTTCAAACCATCCTTGTTGAGCCTCAAATTCCTTCTGTCTCTTGGCCAGCCTTTCAGTGACCTTTTCCATAGTTTCCCAGACTACCCCTGCATGGTCAGCATAAAAGCAACATTGTTCTTGTAGAGCTACACAAAGACCACCTTCTCTGAGGAACAACAGATCTAATCCTCTCCTATTCTGTAACACAACTTCCGAGAGGGAGGAGAGAGATTTCTCTAGGGCTGTGATAGACTTGGCCATTGCAGTTAAATCCTCATTCATTGCTGCCTGTAGTTGCAATAATTGGTTACCTTGCATTATCGCGGCAGTTCCTGTTCCTATTCTGGCTGCTATTCCTCCAATTCCTAGTAGTAGAGCTATGGTCATGCTGATGGGCTCTCTGGGGTATTGTTTCCGTCCCTCAAGGCGTCCTAGGACATAGTCTGACCCTAGATATGATATTTTAGGCCATAATTGTATTAACACGCAAAAATCAGTGGTTGCATTGAGGACTGCCGTAGAAATACAAGGGGTCAGTCCGGTATTGCAGGCCCAGTAAGTTCCGTGGGGACCCCACAAATAGTTATTTTGTGAGCCTGTCACTGGGAGGGTAGTATTACAGAGATGTTGGTGTGATGGGGGTACGTTCCCCATACAGACCCCTTGTCCTGTCACTTCGGTGATGGTAAGCTTATAGCTTGGTAGAGATGCACACTTAGGGTCAGGGTTTGTACTACTGTTTCAGTTGGACATAATTGCTATCCCTTCATAATAGGGTGGGCTGGAGGTGAGACACAACCAACAATCTTGGGTGCGATTTGGGTCGGTGGCATTGAGGGCATAGAATGCTCCTTGAATCAATTTTAACAGTCGGTCTCCGGTCCCAGGATGAGTGGGCTCAGGGAAATAGCTAGAGTTCAGATAAGTTGTAGTGACATTGGGAGACAGAGGCGGTTTACTTGTGGGAACCCTCTGTGAGCTTTGGGGCTGTTTGGGCAGCGAGGGGATCTTTTGGTCTTCTAGTACAGAATTAGGTCCTATCGAGCTAATCATAGCTGGGGTTTGGGATAGTCTGATTTTGAAAGTTACACCGGGATCGTATCCAGTCATATACCATCTGAGTCCCCATGTTCTCCCGGTAAGCCAGGGATCAATAGTCTTCTTGCCTTTGTCCGTGAATTGTATCTTAAGGGGCAGCGACTGGCCCGCCTGAAATTGTGAGTTTTTCCTATGGCATGTATGGCCATCTGGGCTGGAGGTAGTGAAATTCTTGGCCACCTTTATCAGGTCCCAGCTTGAGGTGGGGTTCCAGTATGCATCTCCTGTGGTTTCGCAGCCCCAGGAGAAGCAGAAGTATGCTTCATAGCCGCCACATTTGTATGCCTGGGATCTGTCTCTACCGTCCCGGGGGCAGACATAAAAATCAGTCTTGGCTAGATTTTCATCTTGGAACCGGTGGTGGCCTCGCGGGTAAGGAGGAGGGGTAGGGATCAATTGACAAAAGTCAGGGGTTAAGGTGGGCCACCAGGTGCCAGGGTTATGGGTCGCTGTAATAGACCAAATTATCTCCCCAGTTTGAGAGTATACCTTCCAAGTTAACTTCATGGGAGCATGGGGGTTACTACCTAAGACAAGGGGAGCAAAGCAAAGAGCAAAGGCGGTTAACAGCGCGTAAGTCTTATCTTTAGCGGATTTTGAGTACGCTGCAATTTCCATCCTGAGTCTCGGGGAGTAACTGCTGGGTCTTGTGGATGTGCAGCCTTTACATGAGAAGCGTGAATCCAGGCTGCGATGCCGTCCACCTTGATTGCAGTAGGTGTGTTCAACAGGACGGTGTAGGGTCCTTTCCACCGTGGTTCAAGGTTCTTGTTCTGGTGTCTGCGTACCCAGACGGTGTCCCCGATTTTGAAGGAATGTGGCACCGAGGGGGTTTTGAGTTCTTCTTTGTATGCCGCTGCTAATGGCTTCCAGACCTCGTTCTGGACCAATTGCAGTGCGCCTAAATGAATCTGCACAGATGGGGTGAGGGAGGCAGAAATTTCAGTTTCATAGAAGTTAACAGCAGGTGGTGGGGCACCATATAGGATTTCAAATGGGGTTAGTCCCTGAGGGCCAGGAGTATTTCTGGCCCGATATAAAGCTAAGGGTAGGAGTTGTACCCAGTCTCTAGTGCCAGTTTCAAGCGTTAATTTAGTTAAAGTCTCCTTGATTGTTCTATTCATTCTTTCTACTTGCCCTGAGCTTTGGGGTCTATATGCACAATGTAACTTCCAATTAATCCCCAGCGAATTGGCCACCGCCTGACTTACCTGGGAGACGAAGGCAGGCCCGTTATCCGACCCAATTGTTCCGGGTACCCCATACCTTGGAAAAATTTCTTCCACTAGCTTCTTAGCAACGGTTTTGGCAGTTTCGTGTCGGGTGGGGAACGCCTCTACCCATCCGGAAAAAGTATCAACGAAGACTAGAAGATATTTATATCCATACATACCAGGTTTGACTTCAGTAAAGTCTATTTCCCAATGTGTCCCGGGTTTATGTCCTTTAACCCGGACTCCTGTCCCAAGTTTAACTTTACCAGCATTTACCTGGGCACATGCCTGACAATTTTCTGCAACTCGCTGGAGGAGTCGATCCCTATTTGGAAGATATAGAGTACCTTCTCCACGGTCCAAGAGATCTTTCATCTTTTTAGCCCCAAGATGTGTCAGTTTGTGTAATGATTTTACTAGTTCTTTAGCATTTTTAAGGGGCATTATTTTTTTTCCCTGATATTCCCAGGTATGGTCCTCTGGGTTGTAAGAGGCATCTAGCTTCTGTATGATATCCAGATCTTGGTCCTCATAGACCCATTTACCCTCATAGTCATCATGTTGTGGGTTTTCCCGTTGGGGCAATAAAGTCATTACCAAGAGTTGAGGCCCCTGAGCTGCCTTTCTGGCTGTCTCATCTGCCAATTTGTTTCCCCTGGCCTCCGGAGTATTTCCTCTTTGATGGCCAGGGCAATGCATGATACTTAACTTTTTAGGCAGAAATAGAGCTTTAAGTAAGGCCAATATTTCAGTCTTATTCTTGATTTCTTTTCCATCTGAAGTTAGTAGCCCTCGCCGTCTGTAAATTTCCCCGTGTATATGGGCAGTGGCAAAGGCATATCTACTGTCCGTATACACATTTAGCTTCTTTCCCTCAGCCAACTTTAAGGCTTGTGTTAGAGCTATTTGTTCTGCCCGCTGAGCTGAGGTTCCACCCGGCAACGCACTCGCCCAGATTACCTCAGATTCGGTGGTGATGGCTGCTCCTGCTCGCCGTTCCCCATTGAGCAAATAACTGCTCCCGTCGGTATACCAGACCAGTTCTGCATCTTTCATAGGTTGGTCCGTGAGGTCTGGTCGGGTTCCTTGTGTTTCTGCAAGAATCTGCTGGCAGTTGTGGGGATTTGCTTTTCCAGGAAGCGGCAGGAGGGTTGCTGGGTTCAGTGTGACCATGGGGCCGAACTGAATCCGGTCCGTGTCCAGCAGCAAGGACTGGTAATGGGTGAGTCGGGCGTTGGACACCCAGCGGTCAGGTGGTTGGCAAATTATTGCCTCGATGGCATGAGGGGTTAACAAAGTTAATGGCTGTCCCAGAGTCAGTTTAGTGGCATCCTTAATCAGAATAGCCACTGCTGCTATCATTCGAAGACATGGTGGCCATCCTGACGCCACTGGATCCAATTTCTTGGACAGATAGGCTATAGGACGCCTCCAGGGTCCCAGTTTTTGGGTTAGGACTCCTTTAGCATAGCCCTGTTTTTCATCCACAAACAAGTCAAAAGGCTTGGTAACATCTGGTAGGCCTAAGGCGGGGGCTGACAGAAGGGCCAATTTGATACGATCAAATGCCAATTGGTGCTCCCCAGTCCAGGTAAAGGGGTTACTTTGTTTGGTTAGCAGGTATAAGGGGGCCGCTATCTCGGCAAACCCAGGAATCCAAAGTCTGCAGAAACCTGCTGTGCCCAGAAATTCCCGTAGTTGTTTAGGGTTCTGGGGAGTTGGTATGCTCGAGATAGTTTCTTTCCTGGCTGTGGTTAGCCATCGTTGGCCATTATGAAGTTCATAGCCAAGGTAAGTAACTTTTGTCTGACAGATTTGTGCCTTTTTAGCCGATGCCCTGTACCCCAACTGTCCCAAAGTTCGCAGTAATGCCTCCGTACCTGTAAGGCAATCCTCCTCGGTGGTGGCAGCCAATAGGATGTCATCTACATATTGGAGCATAATTAAGGAGGGGTGTCTTACGCGGAAATCGGCCAGGTCCTGATGTAAGTCTTCATCGAAGAGCGTCGGGCTATTCTTGAACCCTTGTGGCAGTCTGGTCCAGGTCAGTTGACCGGAGACCCCTTTGTCGGGATCTTTCCATTCAAATGCAAAGAGGGCCTGGCTTTGAGGGCACAGTCTCAAACAGAAAAAGGCATCTTTTAGATCTAGAATGGTGTACCAAGTATGGGTAGGAGGCAAGGTGCTGAGGAGATTGTAGGGGTTAGGCACCGTGGGGTGGATGTCCTCTACCCTTTTGTTTACCTCTCTTAAGTCCTGGACAGGCCTATAATCATTTGTTCCCGGCTTTTTTACTGGTAGCAATGGGGTGTTCCAGGGCGATCGGCAAGGGGTTAGAATTCCTTGGTCTAGGAGGCGTTTGATATGCGGCCTGATGCCTTGGTAAGCTTCTCTTGACATAGGATACTGTTTATTATTTACAGGAGTAGCAGTGGTTTTTAGGTAAATGACTATTGGAGGTTGTTGTTTAGCCATTCCCATTCCACGGTTTCAGCCCAGGCCTCCGGGTAGGACTCAAGCCAATAGTTTATGTCCTTATCAAGTGCAGGAGGTTTGCTAAAAAGTTTATATTCATCCTCTAATTTGAAAGTTAATACATGTAAAGGGGCCTGATCTGGCCCCGTAATGGAGGCACCCCCATTTTTAAAGTGGATTTGAGCTCTTAACTTGGTTAATAGGTCTCTTCCTAGTAGTGGATACGGACAATCAGGCACATGTAGAAACGAATGGGAAACTCTACCTGTAGCAAGGTGTACTTCTCTCTTGGTGGTCCATCGGTACGGCTTGCTTCCAGTGGCGCCTTGGACCCACGTCGTTTTGTGGCTCATGGGTCCTGGCGTTCGTGTTAGCACCGAATGTTGGGCTCCAGTATCTACTAGGAAGGTTACAGGTTGCCCCCCTACTTGCAAAGTTACCCGGGGCTCAGGGGGGAGTTCCTGGCCCTGACTCCCCTAATCTTCATCCAGGGCTAGTAACTGAGGGGTCCGGTTAGTACCTCTTCAGGGATTGGGGGGTTTCTTTGGACAGTCTTTAAACCAATGTCCTTTCTCCTTGCAGTAGGCACATTGGTCTCGGTCTATACGGGGTCTGCCTCGTTCCCTTTCCCTACCTGTTCTATCTCCTCGTTGCCCTGCCTGGGTTACAGTGGCCAATATCTTGCTTAATTCTTTATTACATTTTCGATCTTTTTCTCTTTCTCTCTTATCTAACTCTTCTCTAAACTTAAGATCTCTTTCTTCCTGCATTTTTCTGATCCTTTCTTCCTTTTCCTCTGGGGTTTCTCTCTTATTAAAAATCTTTTCTGCTTCCTTCAATAAGTCTGCTAGAGTAAAGTCTTGTAGGTTGTCTAACCTTTGCAACTTGGCCCTAATATCTGGAGCGGATTGCCAAATGAAAGCCATAGATACGTTTCCCTTCTGATCCTCACTATCGGGGTCGAAAGGAGTGTATCTCCGATAGGCTTCTTTTAGTCTCTCTAGGAATGCGGTCAGAGTTTCCTCCGAACCCTGGGTGGTTTGTCTTACCTGGGCCAAATTGGTGGGCCGTCGCCCTGCTCCATGGAGACCCGCTATGAGTAACTGGCGATAGAGACGTAGGTGGTTCCTACCTGCATCAGTATTATAATCCCAATCCGGTCGAATTAAGGGAAAAGCTTCATTGATCAAATTTGGGAGTTGGGTAGGGGGCCCATCATCTCCCGGCACATTTTTACGGGCCTCTAAGAGAACTTTTTGTCTCTCCTCTGAAGTGAGAAGAGTCTGCAAAAGCTGCTGACAGTCGTCCCACGTTGGTTGATGAGTCACTAGAATAGATTCAATCAGGGAAGTTAGGGCTACAGGGTCATTGGTAAAGGAGGGATTGTGGGTTTTCCAGTTATAAAGATCAGAGGCAGAGAAAGGCCAGTACTGATATTGGCCGTTAGGACCTCCCGTCTGCCGCAAGGGGAAGGCCCTTGAAGCATCCCCTGGGGCGGTAGGTTCTCGGCACCCGCGAAGTCTCCCCACCAGGCCCGGAGGGGCATTGGTAGTTGGACCCTCTTGTTCTTCTTCTTCTGAGGAAACCTGAATGGGATCTGGAGCTGGTAGAGGTTGGGGATGGTAAGGTGGGGGTTCTTCAGGTCTATAAGAGTTGAATCCTCTGGTGGTAAGACCTTCTTGGGTTTTGTCCCTGCTGGAGTCACGTTTTTGGGTTTATCTAGAATAGGGTAAAGCCTAGAGGTTTGAGGAGGGGGTGCGGGTATCGGGATAAGTGGAGCGGAAGGTGGGGGTGGGGCTTCAAGGGGAGAACGGGGAGGAAGCTTAGGTGGAGAGAAAGGGGCGACCCAAGGAGGTGGGTCGGAGGCTAGATCTTCCCAAGTAACAATGTAGGGCACTTGATCGGGGTGTCCTTGAGGACCTTGGGTGAAAACCCGAGACTTCACCTGTAAAATAAGATCAAGGTTAAACGTCCCTTCTTTTGGCCAGCCAACATCGAACGTTGGCCACTCCGTGGTGCAGAGTGTTATCCATCTTTTCTTTTTGATTTCCACTGACCGGTTGTCAGCCCGGTTCCGGACGTCCTGCCAATGATCAAGAGTAAGACTCAAGGGAGTTGTTATAGATTGTCCCATGTTAGTCTCAGAGGGAATGAGAAAGTACAAAGGCAAGGAGACAGATACAAAAATCAGACTGGACACAAAGAATGCTGGGCGGCCTCGGCACAAACCGAAAGTATCTGATGGATTAGGGGGAGGAGGGACTCCGTCACCCACAAGAACAGTGTACTCTTTGGAAACACTAGAGGCCCCCCAAAATGGGCCCTCCGAATCCCTCGGACGTCTCCCAGGGTGGCAGGGGAGAAGTCCGAGTTTGTCAACTACTTCTCAAGCTGCCCAGAAAACAGAGCGACTACGCGTAATCTTACGGACGCTGCGCACAGACAGATAATGATCGAAGACTGCAAACATAGAACAAAAGAAACACAAAACCACACGAGCCGGCCAGCATACCTCCCAGTGATGCCGGGCGTTCCCCGGACAGGGATCCGGACGGGGGTGCAGGAAGATCTCGGTGGAACCTCCAAATGAAAGACCCTCCGACTCCCTGTCCAAGGAAAAGCACAGGAGACACTGGCTGCAAAAGCAAGAGGCGATTTATTGATACACAGGCGCCTGCGGGTGCTCAGCAAGACCTCAGCCGGAGCTTCGGTGAACTGGCACCCCGGGCTTTGGGGCACAGATCTTTTATAGGGTAAAGGAACAGGTTTCGCGCGCGCGGTAAGCAACAGGTTTCTTATTGGTCTTTTTGAACCTAGCATATAGGTTACCTAAAAGGCAAGGTTGTTTTTCACTGTATGTTCCTGGAAAAACCACATAAAAACCACTTGTTTTTCACTGTATGTTTCCGTTTGCTCAACCGTGCCGGTTCTTTCCCAACCATCCTGTTCTTTCCTAATCGGTTACACTTAACTGATTATCTGAAAAACACATCCGACGCCTGTGCAGGTGCAAAAGCAAGCCCTGATGATTTTGTAACTGGGCCTAACGTTATTGGGCTGGGGTCTCTCACCTGGACACAGGAGAGGAGAGGATCCAGGGGGTGCTCCATCCTCTCCCAGACGCCAGAGCAAACAGCCCAACTAACTGGCGTTCAGTGTCTTGGGAGGGATGATCCACTCAAGACAGTGTTCTTGGGGGCATTCACACCAGACCCTCAATCCCCAGGAGAAACTGACGCCTGCTGCCCAAGGGAGCACAGCTACCCCTGAGGGTGTCTTGAAGTAATGGGACCCCTTCCTACCTGATGCAGATTTACTAGATATTCTTCAGAGGTCTTTTCATTCCAGGCTCCCTGCCTCCTCTCTCTACTACAGACAAAATAAAACCAGTCAATATGTAGGAGAAGGGCATGGGGGGCTGTGGAGACAAAGAAGGCTGGCCTTAGGAGCCTCTTAGGGCAGCTAATAATGTCCCCATGTACGGAGCTCTTCTAAGAGGGCCAGCTGTTGCCAGCACCACACCAACCCAAGACAGGTTCCCCTGCCTCCTCCTCCAAGTCCCCCTTCCTGCCCCTGAATGTGGAGATTGCCTGCTGACCAGTGAGTGACCTCTCCTAGGTGCTCTCTCCTTGGCTCTCAGGCTGCTTCCCACTCCCTTGGTGTTTGCATCACAATAGCTGAAGTCACAGGGCACTGTGGGGGTGGGGGGTGGGGGTGGGGTGGGGGTGGGGGATGGAAAGCACCAAGGCTCAGGAGGCAAAGCTGGAATGCTGAGCGCATGTAATAACTATTGAGACCCCTTTCTCTAGAATAAGTGCTCTCCTGGGTGCCCAGCATACACAAACTCCTTCCCTTGGGTCATTGTGGGAATATAGTACTTGTTAATATGGATCGAGTCACTGGCTTGGGGATGATAGAGCATAGAGTCCTTCCTTCCTGTTATTTTTCTTTTCATTGGATTTCACACACCTTAGGAATGAATATACATGTAATTGTGCGTGTATATGTGATGTGCCTGCTAGAAAGTATGGAATATTTCCAGCACTTTGGAATGGTCCTTGTGCCTTTTTAAATAGTCACTTCCCAAATTACCCACAATTCTGAACTCTGTCATGATGCACTAGTTTGCTTGATTTCCCCTTCATATCAATGGGGGGGGGGGGAGATTCCAGGTTGTCTTCAGAGTCTGGATCTTTCTCTGGACAGATCCTCAGTCCAGGAGATCCATCTGTGTTTTCGTGTGACACAGCACTCTGTTCTTGTTCATTGGCCAGTAGTATTTTATCACATGAATCCAGCACAAACTGTTCACTCATTCTAACTCATTCTAACTTTGTTTGTTATACTTTCCTTTTGTTTTGGTGGTAAGAGTGGCATCTCTGGTGATTTTAGGATTGCCTTAAGAATAGCCTTAGAATTCATTCTTTCCTTGTTTTGAAAGATACAATATTTCTGCAGCCTTCTTTCATTTCTTACTGTTTTTTTCTTTCTTCTCAGCTAGATGTGATATATTCACATCTCTATCCCTAGCTTCTGCTGAGATTGAATAGATGTGTGGTTTAAACCAACAATATATTTTATAAAATGGTTGTTCAGCCTCACTTTAGAAAAGTTATTTTCACTGGGTACAGTGGCACACGCCTGTAATCCCTGTGGCTTGGGAAGCTGAGACAGGAAAATCACAATTTCAAAGCCAGCCTCACCAAAGCAACTCAGGGAGACCCTGTCTCTAAATAAAATACAAAATAGAGCTAGGAATGTGGCTCAGTGGTTGACTGCCCTTGGGTTTTATCTCCAGTAGCCCCCCCAAACTTTTTTAAAAGTTATTTTCATTTTCTTTGAAATATTGATAAGCTGAGAAATTCCCAAACCTTCCAAACTCTTGTTCCTTTTTGTTTTTCTCTTCAATGCATCTATGTCTTTTCACAGTTTATTATAAGTAATCAGTAAGAATCAAGCTTTTCCTCTCAATGCTTTGCTTGAAAATCTGTTCAGATAAGTATTCAATTTCATTGTTCACAAACCATTTGTGTCCACATAACACTAGGACACAATTGATGTTTTTGTCACTTTATAGGAGGGATTAACCTTTCTCCTGTTTTCAATAACTTTTCTGCCTAAAAACATAGTAAAATCACTTTTAATATCCATATTCTAACATGTACCTCAGAAACTTGCAGCTCTATCCATTATCCAATTTTAAAGTCAGTTGCATGTATTTATGTATTGTTATAGCAATACCCCATATCTCAACAACTCAGTACTAAAATCTGTATGTACGCGCATCTCCAGAAAAACAAAATCAATAGGGATACATAGAGACAGGGTGGGGAGGGAGACAAAGTATAAGGAATTGTTAATGGATTATAGAGTCTAATCCCCCAAATCTACATCTGACAAGCTAGACACATGTAAAAGCCTGCTTAGGAAATTGAAAACTATGGTTTCAGATTTTTTTTAACTTTTTACGTAACATATCTTGCATTATATAGAAATTTTGTTTTGTACTGCATCAGCTTTAGTTAATTGTATAAATTTCAACATTTCATGTAATCTGTTAAATGTAGTAAATGGAATTCTAACATTCTGAAATTCTATAGTGATAACTCCTTTTATGTTTGTGATATTAGAATTATGTATTTTCATTCGTGATTTGTATTAGAAATCTATCACATTTATAAATCTTTAAAGTAAAAGAAATATTTGTATCTTTGGTTTTCTCTTTTCTATGGCTTCTTTTATTTCCATGATATTTGTTCTACATTATTTTCATCTGTTTCTTTGTGTTAGAGATGTTATTTTTCCCTGGTTTCTTCAAGTGGATTGTTATACCATTGGGCTTAAGGCTAGTATATGTTATAATATATATATTTAGTAGTCTCCATTATGATTCATGCCTTATTTACATGGACTATACTTTTATTTTTATTGTGGTACAACATACACACAATTTATTTTCTTTTCCCACTTTGGAAGTATATAGATCAGTGGAATTAAGTACATTCTCATTCTTGGGCATTATTTACCTCCAAAATATTTTTAATAATTCCAAGTAGAAACTGTATATACAATAGACAATAACTCTTCAATCTCCCATTTTATAACCCTTGATAACCAATCTTCTATATATGTCTCTTTGAATTTGACTATTCTAGGTACCTAATATAAATAGGATCATATAACATTTGTCCTTTTGTGTCTGGCTTAATGTCTGTAAGATTCATCCATGCTAATAGCATGTATCAGAATTTCATTCTTTTTTAAAGCTGAAAAATATTTCATTCTATTATATTCCACATTTTTTGGTCAACTGAAGTATTGGTGGACCGTTTTGGCTATATGCTTTTGAAATAATGCTGCTATGAATATAGAAAGTGCATATCTGTTTGAATCCTTGCTTTCAATTCTTTTGTAGGTATACCCAACAGTAAAACTGCTAGATCATGAGGTAAATACATTTTTAAATCTGGGGGAATTGCCATACTGTTGTTAATACTGGCTGCACCATTCTATATCCCCACTAGCAATGCACAAAGCTTTTATTTTCCCCCACATTCTTGCCAAAACTTATTATGTTTACAATCTACCAATTTATTTTTAAAATTTATTTTGATTTTTTAAATTCTTGTTAGTCACATAAAACATTAGGACACATTTTACATAATCCCAAAAGCATGGAATATAATTTGCTTTAATTCATTCTCAGCACTTTCCCCTCCTCCTCTCTCCCTTCCCCTGTTGCCCTTCTTCTACTCTATTGATATTCTTGCTATTTAATGTAGTTTTTTTTTAATTACTGTCATATATATATATATATATATATATATATATATATATATACTTAATATTGGGATTCACTGTGCTATATTCATGTATGTACAGATTAAAGTACCACTGTTCTTCGCTTTTCCCATTGATTTTTTGCATATTGTTTTTGGGTTTTTTTCCATATTTTTATTGGTGCACTATAGTTAGACATATTTACAGGGTTTTTTAAAAACATATTCACACATGTTAACAATATAACAATATAATTTGACCAATATCACTCACCAGCACTTCCCTCTTCCCTCCCTACCTCTCCCCCCTTGGTCCTTTTTCTCTACTGATCTCCCTCTGATCTTTAGCACCACT